GCTACTTTGACCAGATTGCAGAAATAACTGCAGAGAACTAAGTGATGGATTCACCGATCGAGGTTGTGGGTGTCTGGGTATGTAGATGCGTGGGTGTAGATGTGTGGATGTTGATATCTCTATCGTCAACATGCATACACTCGCACCCACATTCACACTCACACCCTCAAGAATTCTAATGGTTTCTTACTAAACCCTAATGGTTTCGTACTAATTAAACCATAGAATTCAATTCTGAACCCTAAAGGTTTCGCATTTTTCTTGCGAAACCTTTTTCTGATGTACGGAACTTAAAAAAGAGGTTTCGTAGCAAAAGGTTCTTCCCGTGTATCCAGGGGAAGAACCTTTAAAGGTTCCGTGGAAAAAAAGAAGTGTTTTTCAGACAGTATGATGCATTTGGATGCTTTTTCAAATCTACCGAACCTTTTTCCAGGGTTCGGTGGAAAACCTATTTTTTTTTTGAGTGTAGATCCCCCGCATGAATAGCGCTGGTCAATAGAACCCGCTCACAGAAAAAGAACGGGTAATCATAGGTTTGAGCCCGTTCCTCCGACTCATTGAGCAGTGAGCTGTCGTATACCTAATCCTAGGTTATAAGTGAACTCGAACATATAAGATATTGAAATGCACATTGGCTTTAAATAATCAACTCGTGATTGTATCAATATCGAACTAATTCATCTGCACATTTGATGTGTAACTATGAACATTTCTATTTTATCTCAATAATTTTTAAAATAATTTACTGTTACAACATTGACACTGAGAATACCACTGGCTGAAGAACCATCACCATAGCCGATTGAAAACTTTTCCCCGTTGGTCACATATGTTGCCGACTCTGCAGAATTATACTTATTGAAACCATCTAAAAAAATGAACTCTGGTCAAGATCTGAATAATATTTAATTAAGTTTTGATAACCTACTGCAAGACGATCGGCACTGGCTTGACGGCACCCATAGATCGGAGGAACCTGTATCGAAGTCGATACGAAAGGTTTGAGGTGGCGTTCCGATTGAGATCATTCCGATGAAATAGATCTGTTAACAAAAAGTATATTTCAAGATTTATCGTCGATAAATTACCAATATAAGTGTTTCGACACCAAATCTTTTGTTTATGTCGATATTTTTGGCTATTTATAATCTATCAAAACTTCAGCGACTATCTTTTATTCTTGAAAATCGAATGCGATTACGACTGGAAAAAACGGAGTATTACTTTCGATTAGATAACCTAATGGTGGATTGTCACTCGCTTACATCAAGTTCATTGGTGAGATTTTCGTTAACAGAAGAGGTTGCTAAAGAAGTTTTGGCATAAGAACTCAAAGACTTTTGACTGTTCGCCATAATTTTCATCGGTACTGTAGAATTTGTTCTGTTAGACGACAGTCGGTGAGCACGATGAATAGGAATTCTAACGATTCAAAATAGATAAATTCATATACCGATTTAGTTAAGCACAAGTACTCACCGAAATATGTCATTGCCAGCTGACTTTTCGCATAAGTGAACGATAATGAACATTACAAGTAATGTACTGGTCACCTTCAACATCATACTTCACCAGTTTTGTTAAGTTTGCCAAGTATTAGGTAAATGCTATAATCTAGAATCTAGAATCAACAGCAAATCATTTTAGTTACAGATGATGGAAGAAGCAATGAACAATAGAGTAATATTATACATGGATGTGTCACAAGAATAAGCAACATTTTTATTTTGATTATTACTCAATATATCTGAGTGCATGTTTTTTTAACAAAATACTGGTGCGATTTATTTTTCTTATAAGGCTTACTCATAGAATTGACAGCGACGTTGTCATTCCTCTTTAGTACAATGATTCTGAACAGAAAAACGTTCTTCATTAGTCGGGTTTCTTGTTTTCGACAAACATATCGAATGCAGATGAATAAAAATAAGTCGAGTCTCTTATGCAGAAAAATAAGAACTAGTTAATTTGAACCAGCAAGTTAAACTTTGCAATTACACAAGAAAAAATAAATAAATACATAACTACAGTCATTAGGATGAAAAGAAAAATTAATCATTTCTGAGTAATCTTGCACGAAACCATTCATTGACGAAAGAAAGAAAAATCCTTCACTTCATATTAATATTAACTAAATGTACTGCAATTACGCAATGAGACATCCGTTCTTTATTTGTTTTCGATAACATTTTACTTCACTATTTTGGTTGAGAGCAAATACTATTAACGCTACCAAAATTGAAAAGGCTGGATGGTTTGTACTTTGAACAACTTCAGCATGAATCACGCTAGTGATTTTTTATTTTTACTAGTCAGTAGAGTATATTAGGAAGCGTTGAAATATATGAGAAACGTCGAGTTAATTTTAGTGAGTGTTGTACAGTTGTTGTGGCTATTTGAAAAGGTGGCAACTTTGATTTTTTTTCTTATAAGCTTACTTTCTCAATAAAATCGATGCAAAAAGAATCAAAACAGCCTCGATTGACACATGGTCGATCTCTCCTTTAGCCTTAGCTATTTGAGTGAGACGCTTGTAAAAGTAATATACACCTATATATTTATTTAACTAACTGATTCGTTTGTAGGAAAGTCTCGCTTGGTTTTTTCTTGTAACTAGCTATTCGAAGTCTAGCGGTTTTAAAACATATCATAGGCATTGAAAGAATTCGATAACTATTCAGAAAAGTTACATGTCTGCTAAATGATTTAAATAGCCCATTCATTTATGTGATGAATTCTGTGCAGCTTCTTTACGTTTCATCAAGATATCTAAAGCAAATGTTACTTAAACAATCGATTGTAAGCCATATATAGTAATTGTCCGACGGTGGGGAGGAGGGCTGTGAATAGCCCTCCAATTGTGGAAAACTCTTGTTTATTGTGCCACTGACCAGAGTGAGCTGCCTTATTTGAATTCCAACATGGATGACGCGCTTCCATTATGTACAGTTACTTCGAGAAGAGATGAAAAAAGCAATTCTGCTGGCGCTTGGGGGTGTGAGTGTGAGCGTGTCAGTGACAGTATTCATTCACACCTACACACCTATTATAGGCTCCAAAAGCTCAAATTTACGAAAAACAGCTGCAAAGAAAAAGAGTTTTGAAATATCTACGATTCTGTGGATTTTCTGGGCTCAAGGTGGTACCAAAAATGTCTTTAGATCCATATTCATGATCGGTACAAAATTCTTTATCAGACGATGTGTAAAAGAGAAAAAAATTAATTCTGCTCGAATTTTGCTTTCGTTGCACCTGAAGTTTGTTTTTCTTCTAGACATGGATTCATCGAGGCCTTTTTCAATTTTCCCTACTTGAATGATATTATTCATAAATAATAACAACCTGCCGATCAAAAGTAATTATCTTTAGTAATCATGACTGTAACGAAATATTTTGAGGGTTAATTATTCTTTGGTTCTGGGTGAATTGATAAATCAAAATATAACGTTTCGGGCTTCGATGATATTTATTTTAATAATAATATGAGCACACACAGATAATAACAAGTTGACGTAAAATTGATAACTGATTACAACACGCACAATAATAATAATTGTTGAACGATAACCGTTTCATGATTCTGAATTGTAACTTCTACTTAATATTTCTAACTAAGTAACTCTTTACCTTAGCTATCTATATCACTGTTTCTCAATACTCCTCCAAATTATCTATCCCTCTTCGCTTCCAAATTATATCTCTTTTTCTTGTACTATCTCACCATTCTTTTATGCTCTCGCTCTTTTCTCTCTCTATTTCATTCTATATTTATATCTATTTTCCGAGAAAAGAAAATATGAGCCATAAGAAGAATAACTTAAGTCATTTCGATCATTTCATTGATTGACATGACCCCTGAACTTAGATAACTGTTTCTTGTCATGCTTGACCGGATTACGTATTGATAGTATTAAAAGAATATCCTTTTCTATTATGACTTAACCGTTCCTTAATACTTATGTAACTCTCGTACTGTCTAGTCGCACTTAATAACCGCTCTAATTATCCGTATAAAGAATAAGAAGAAATTCCATAATGGGGAAACGTAGTTATATGAATCAAGAGGGGTGTATCATTCATAAAAAGGTACACATGATTTTCTGAATATATGAGAATATAGGTTTTTGGCACAATGACTCATCCAGTATATCTTTTAGTGTATACGAAAGCTTGTTTTTCTTCTTCCTATCGATTCATCTTGATTTTTTCCGATTTTTGCTACTTGAATAATATTATTCATTACTAATAACGACCTATGAATCAAGTATAATGAGAATTAGTATTCATGACTTATAAAGCATAGCGTTTTGGAGAAAAATCTTGGCGAAATCTTTCAGATAGGTAATATAAAGAGACTTTTAGTATGAAAAAGATCGAGCAACAGAAAAATCCAGAATCTGAGTAGGTAAGGTCTGCACGAAATTTGCGTATTTTTCGTCAAGATTCGTGTTAGTATTTGAGTTGGGCCTCGTTCAGGTTTAATTAAATACAGAATTTTATTTCGCATCGAACGTTGTATTTTCACACCGAGTTTTTCATTAAACACTATTTTCTCTGCAGAAATTACGGACACGAAAATATTTTGAACATTGGACTATTCAGTGGAGAAAAGATTACGCAACAAACAAGCAGGAGACCGTCGTTCGCTTTAAGAGAAATAACAAAATGTTAGAAAAGGATACGATTTATCTTGCAAATAAACAACATGAAAATGACCGACGCCTTTTCTCCATCGAACAGAGGATTATTCGTCACTTATAATTTGTGGAAGAAGTAAAACAACTAGCGTACGAAATGAAACTGAAAAACAAATCAGTCACTTTTCACTAGGGATTTCCAATAAAATTAGTACCGCTATCAACTGTGAAAAAGCAAAAGTGTTCCTCATTCTAACACAATTTAATTCCTCTCCTCTCCTCTCCTCCTCACAGGATTACTAATAGGTTTTGGCCTTGGTATTTTCCTTTTCCTACTTCGAAGAAACTGTCTATAAACTTCTCCTCTGCCACACAATTTTATTACATTTTCTTTCGATTTAAGATCGGGTTAGGTACGTATTATCATTCTTCAAATGTGAAAACTCAGTCGGTTTCCCGTTTTTCGTTGGCTAGAGAAGGAAGCTGACTCGATTTTAGACTTTGATAGGCAGAAATTAGGATACAGAACACACAGTTAACACTGCACTCCTGATGCTTTGTTTTGTTTTGTTATAGGGCGAATTTCAAATTATGCATTCATCTTTACGAAAGGTAAGATACCTTAAGCTAATTAAATTCTCTACTGATTATTATTCTATTCCAGATTCAAACGTTAGCTCTGTTAAAAAGAAATGTCATATCGCCGAGAAGAGGATCGAGGTAGAAACCTAATTCAATATATGATTCACTGTAAAAGCCGAGCAAAGGCGAAAGAGCAAGCCAAGCAAGCCAGTAATAATCACAAAGCACCAATAGAGAATACTGCACATGAGTCAGACCAGCTATCTCACTTCCATCCAGATGATCTTGATGGAGAAATAAAGAAAAATGGGCAGCCTTTTACCTATCCAAAATCAAAATAGTATCAGAAAGCCGTCGCTGTTGCCCATTTAACGTTCACTTTTTCTTTGCTATTTATGAAAACTTTATTATAATAAAAGAGAACATTTTTCGAAAGAGTGTGGGTGTGAGTGTGTTAAGCTACCATGATATCGATATTTTATCTCAGCAACGACCCTTTTCAAATGTCACTTGTAGCGATAAAAGAATTCCGAAGTATTAATTCGAAACAAAGTTAAAACTTTACTGTTACTCGAAAGTAATGAAAGATTATTTTTGCAGTAGTGCGTTAAACTATCATGATATTTTGCAGTATGATTTTTAATGGTGTGTGAAATGTGGTCGAAGCCGTTATCATTATAATGATAAAACATCAAATGATGTTTTTTTTTTTTGATATGATGAAAGAAATTAATTTAACATGATTTTTAAAAAAGAGCAATAATATAAAGATGATGAGATTAAAGAAGACAATAGCAAACAGTTAGATGATTAAGAGACGCTCCATGAAAAAATCGAGGATTCGAAAAGCCCGGGGGTCAACCGACTTTGGATTTGACCCTCTAGAAATTTCAGCCCTTGTATATCATATATGAATCCAAAATATTACGGTCTAAAGATTTACTACTGGCTTGCTAGAGCCGTCACACCAGACACACCCTCAAAAAAAGCTCTAAAAATTGTAAAAAATTGGCCGACTAGTTTCAGTCAAATTTTTTCGTATAAATTTTTTACTGTCGAAATTGAGTCACATACCAATCGATCGAGCTTGATTTGCTCTACAAAACTGTGTATGGAACATTTCTCTATCATCTCAATTTAGAGCTGAAAAAGTCGAAAAAGCATGATTTTTTTATATGAAATTTTGTTCATTTTTCAGTATTTTGCCCTAACACCTAGAAGAGAAATGAAGTTTCAAAAAATATTTAATACTACTAGTTTGTAGAGCTTTCAATTCTGCATCGACTGATATATAGGAAATTGTTTTAAAACGTTCGAATCGTGAGAATATTCCATTTCAATATCGACCATCGACACCATATTTTACCTATTTTAAGTATTATACAAAATTTGTCTGGGCGTATTTTTTCTTCACAAGTTTTTAATTTCATAATTGAATGATATGCAAATCGAGAGAGCTCAACGTGCTCTACAAATCTATATCTGTTACATTTTCCTATGATCTCATTGTATAGGGAAAAAACGAAAACTGTAGGTTAAACACTGCGCAACAATGTATTTTTCAAATATATTGATCAAAAGCTCATTTTCTCAAATACTTTTCAAGAAAATACTAATACCACGCGATAGAACATTCAATTTTGTATCAAATGATATACTTCACATAACTATGAAACGCCATGAAGGTAGGATACAGAGACTCGGAAGATGAACACTGGAGTAGTATTTTATCGTTTTACCTCATACGGAATTTGTTTTTTCTATAACTTGAAGTATTTTCACACTTGCTGAAATAAAGTAATATGAGCCTCAAACTTTGAGATTGTCAGTTGAAATCAGTATCTGAAAATATTAGATGAAGTAAACAATTGTCTTTAGAGGTAAGAATTTGTGATATTTTGACTAAAATTATTGAAATTATAATATCGGTGAACATTGAATTAGACATGATGAAAAACAGATTTTTTCAGTCTGCTGGAAAATTCTACTCGTTACAGTTATCGTAAGTGATACATTTCTGCTCTATCAGTCTCTTTTCTGTTTACGATACATGTAATACATAAAAATATAAGCTATCGGATTTACATAATAGATTTTATTTATTAAATTGTTCTCCTTACGCTTCAGTGTCATTTTCGAATGATGAGACATGCTTCTTGTTAAAATATAAGCGATAAGACATCGACGCTTCCTTCAACTGAGAATATTTCTAATAAAAAATTTTACTGGGCGCTCTTTTTCTAATCATGGTCTCAGCATCTAACGTTATTCTATACTAATGTATACATCTTTCATGCTCTAGATAAAATAACTAATGTTAATGTTGGCTACAACACTTTTCGCGTGAAAGCAAAGCCTCTGATAGTAATTAATGTTTCACCTTTGAATAACTTACCTGCTATAAATTAAATACAAAACAAAAAGATTCTACAATGGAAAATACTCGAGAGTAAAAATGATCTAGAACGAGAAATAATATGTAGAAAAAAAATGCTTATATATGAATTTGTGTGCAGATGCGAGTGTATGTATGTTGACGATAGAGATATCAGCATCCACACACCTACACCCATCGTCCACCAAAATCATTTGATTCATTACAAATACCAGAACCAATTACATTAGCATCTATTAATGATACAAAAACGCATCAACGTTTAAGTGATCGATGTGAGAAAATTGTACAACGAAGTCGATATGATATGATATTAATTTATATTGCAGTAGCCGAAGCTAAAATGAATGAATGGAAGGATAAATTTGATACGGATTTAGATGAAATGAAAGAATATCTAGTTCGTGGTGCATCACATAAAAGATTACATCGTGTAATGGTTGATATTTTATATCGACGTTTTAGAACTTTAGATGAACGTCTTATGTGTCTCTACAAATTGAAGCTTCGTTTTTTCGACATAGCTCCGACGGTCAAGAACTAGATTTGGTTTATCGTTGGAGCAGTTTTATTGAAAAATCGAAAGTTCATTTTTCACCAACACTCTATCATGATTCTCATCAACATCATCTATCATCGAAACAAATGGAATTTCTTCATCGTGGACCCAGTTATGTTTCAACATGTCAACTACATATTGTATCTGGATCTTCATTAAATATGGATCATCTTCTTACAAAACAAATGTCATCACTTCGACGAGTACTAACACGAGTTTTTACTAAATATCCAGTTGATTTATCTCGTCGAATGAATTTTGAAAAAGAAATTCAAAATCTATTTCATGCATCCTTCGATCAATCGATTCCATCGACATTCGAAGAACGTATATTGTATGAAAAACAATTGATCAAATCTATAAGATATCAATTAAATAAAGATCGATTGATTCTACGTCGAACGGTTGATAATTATATACTTATTATTTAGGTCCACAGAATGAATTTCAACAGAAATCCGATGATTTTGTTCAACATTCAACATCTTATGAATTTATCGGTATGTTTGACGGTATTAATACAGAACAACAACAACTGGATGAACTTGTCAATTCAATTAATTCACAATTTGAAACATTACATCAAAAACGATTGATCAATAATGATTATCGAACAAAGTTCACTATTAGCAAAAAGTCAACAATGAAACTTCCCTATCTTTATTTTCTACCAGAAATAAATGAAGATGCCAACATGACAGTTTAACCGAAATTTTCATCTTATCAATATTCTCCAATACAAAAAATAGCACAATATCTTGATGATCTTCTATGACCTTTATTCAATAGTCTATCTGTATCTACAAGGTTTCTTAATAGTGATGATTTCATCTATAAACTTCGATATTATTCTATAAAATTAGATTCATTATTACCAAAAACACAATTTGTAACATTTTAAATTTATGATCTATATGATAATGTAACACATGCAGGTCTTCTTCAAGCCTTGTATACATTTCTTGCACATACACTTGTTAGTACTCGTCATAAACGATTATCAAATGATGCTATTCATGAATTAACTGCACTAGTCTTACGAAATAATTTCTTTTCGTACGATGATAAACTTGTCGATTTACCAAAGGTTGTCCATTAAATTTACCCTTAACAGATCTATTAGGTGATATCTATTTGTATGATTGGCAATTTTCTCTTGTTCGACAAAGTCGTCTGAGTGATTTATTTTATCGTCGATATCATAATATAGATTAATGGCATGGTACGGGCAGATCGAACAATTACAAACAATTTTCGATGAACTTGAACGATTATTACCATCAGGTGCTCAATTGACATCATTTATTGCTACAACTGTTCACTTTATGGATTGTCTCATCAATAATCAACGAGGTAATTTATTTACGAATGTTTATCATAATTCAACCGTTCGACCATTTTTATTACCTTATATACCGAGTTATGCACGATTATCACATCGAAAATGGTTTCGATATGCATTCATACATGCCTTTCATTATTATTGTTCATTTGAAGATTTCGAAGATGAACGAATCTATATCGAAGCTATCTTTCTTGCCAATGGATATTCATTAGACTTTGTTAAATATCATTGGAGACAATTCCTTAAACGATTTAATTTCAGCCTAATAGAACTAACGGATCTGAATTGATACAAATATAATACATTACGTACAGAACTATTCAGTCGTATTATGGCACGAAAACATGAACGAGAAGAAGAAAAACTATCAGAAACGAATCAGAAATTGATTCAATTACATTATCTATTTGATTGTGGTTCGAGATGTGAATTTAATCAAAAATTTCAACGACTTTGGTTAACAATACTCAATGAAGATCTTATCTTTAAACAGTATGGATTAAAAATTCAACTCAATTCTAAACATTGTTATTCATCGAATATTCTTTTGGCTCGTTCAATAACATTTTGATCAAATGAGAAAAGTCTATCTAGCAATTACTATCAATTTATTGTAAAACAATATACTTTATCTTGTATTAATGCTTCTATTATTGTATTTAGTTTTCTTCATAATTAATAGATATAACTAGAAAATTTTGATTGTATTTCTAAAAGTATGCATGCAACTTTTCATAAATTCGTTTTGATTTGTTTTAGATATTATATAATGAAATCAATTTTTAATTTACATCTTCATTGGACTCTTAATTTACTCTTACTTGAAATGAATCAACTACATATGAACACGTCTTACGAGCATATTTCATTATCTGATATGATCACAACATTCCAGCACGTTTTACTTTAACACTTATTATTTTTATCTCTCTCGCTCTCTTCATCGTATATAATACATAGTTTTTCTGCTTTAAATAATCATTTTAATTCAAAGTGTTTGTCGAGCCATTTCTCAAGTCTTCTGATTCAAAATTGTATTAATTATGATTTTATTCTTTTAGATGTAAAACAAAAATGATCAATCAATTATTATATTCATATATACTATCCATTTTATATTTATTAAATATTCATTCTACTTGCAGTTATAATGAACTTACAACTTCTTTAAAAAGTAAATCCACACCTGCACACTGGATAAATATGATTTTTGGTTCACTTGTATCAATGTTAATTGGTATCTTAATATCTCGTTACATCAATCATTATCAATTGAGAGATATTAAAATTGCCATTCAATCTTCAAAAGAAGAATTATTGAATATGTATTCAAGAGATATTGAATCTAGAAAATCAAAAGAAGTGAAAGGTTTATCGAATTTTATACCATTCACACCTTATACATATGTTTACATTGACGAGACAACATCTCCTATAATAGCCGAAGATTTGATTATTCAAGCTAAACGAACGAAAAAGTTCACAATTGTTCTTCATGGTGATATATTATCAAAAGAACTATTTATTGAAATAGAATTAATACAAAAGTTTCAATCAATAATTACACGAATTCAAATATTTAAGAACTCAACTACTGTATATGATCGAATAAAACAATTACTTTCAACGATTATCGATGTATCGAATACTATTCAGATATGGGGTGATATCAACAAGAATTTATTCCATTATAAAGATTATGTTTTCTTTATCTATGAGAAACTACAAGCAGTTCGTTTAATTGATATACGACAAGATTTCAAATTATGGTATAATGCAACGTTTAGTCATAGTACAACTGGTGGTCAAATCATTGACTTCATCGATATCGATGGTCCATTATGTTCATGTTCTCATCGACCCTATAAATCTTCAACAGATACTTGGTCATTATGGAAAGCAGTAGCATATACATTCGATGAAAATCGTTATAAAACAAACAGTAATATTCATGAATGTTTGGCTATTACAAAAATTTCAAAAGTTATTGAAGAGAAATGGACGCGGAAACAGACATTAAATTATATAAATCTGCATCATGTGAACAATCAAGTAAATTATAATCTCTATGAAATAGTTCTTTTTATAAATAAATTCTTCTATTTTTTTTAGACGATAAGAAACAATATCGCAGTCATTATTAATATAAAATTTTACAAAAAATGAGCTTTCTTCTTTTTTTTTGCATCTTAAATGAATAAACCATTTCAATCTATATACTTTTCTATGCATGCTAACCTTCTATTTTAATATATAATATTAATCATTTTCTGCTTTTTATATTCTAGATTTATAAACCTCGAGTCCTGAAGAGTACTATCTTTTAAAAGATACGAAACGCGTCGGCGAAATTAAACTCTGTATTTTATTTAATTCAAGCACATTTCAATTTATATAATATTATATCATTTTTCGACTTTGATCGATTACTGAAAAGTAAGAGTTGAGACTAGCAGATTGATTTGTCTTTTCGTTAAGATATAGATTAATTTGTTTTGAATTGATCCACTTGATAATGATTCTTACTTTTTGATAGAATCGAAATAAATTAAAATAAACCAATTTATTATGGCTATACTTCACACCCACACCACACACCCTCAATGAAGATAGACAGTGAAGACGAAAGAGGAATATAGCATTCACAAACTTTTGTCGGCTATATTACAATTCTTACAAAGACAACATATTGTGTGTATGCCCATAAGCATGTGCTTCGAAGAGTTAGAACGATAAAAGTACTATTCACGAATGCAAGAAAGGTACGAACTAATTCAATAATAGTTCATCTATAAAAGCCGGAATGGAGAATACGTGATGTGCACCATACTTTTTGTACTCCTCCCAGCAATAGGTGACTAAGACCTTTTCAGGATCGCTCAAATATCTACCTCCATCACTCTCAGCACCAGTTTGGTCTCTCCCATTGAGTGAAATACTACTAAATTGTAGTTCTTGATGGAGATAAGCAAACCCACCACATGCAATTCGCTTCTGAGCAGATTCAATACCCAAGACGTTTGTCAAAAGGTAGTCATGTACAGCTCCTTGTCCTGCTGGTTTATAGTAGTCTTCTAGCCAGTTGTCTGTAGATTGTATAATGATGTAAAAACTTCGTCGTCTTCGTCCACAATCCTTTCCACCATCTATCCATTATAAAAAGAAATAAAAAGGATTCATATAAATGAATGCACCTCTCTGCTAAATGTACTGTCTTCTATGCTCACCACGGTTCTCCCATTCAAATTTTCCGTCGATTGCATATATAATAACACCAGCATATCTACGTGATGGATTGAATTGATCGGAGAAAATGGATATTTCACAAGTCACAGTCACGTGTTCCCTTTTCATACGTCGATAAATATCTTTGAAATTCCTTTTACCCATCTGAAATAGCAGCAGCGTTTCCACTTCACATGTTTTTGTTTTTGGAGGAGCAAATTTTCGCATTAAAATAGGTTTCCTTTTATGTAGCAATGAACAGAAGAAGAATATTAAAACTAATGAGTGAAAAAGTAAACAAGCAGCAACTGTTGGGCATAGGATATGCCTAGTGGAGCGAAAAAGATCATGGGTACATCCAAAATCTATAATCATGCTAGAAGGGACTAAGTGGAAGACTTCATATCATTTTAGTAGTAAGTTTCCTGCTCAAATCTATAGTAAAATCTCCTTATATAGACATCTCTCTGTTCTGGACTGAAGATTTTCTCAAGTTCATCTTTTTATCATTCAGTTGCATACAAACATGCTTGTCACTCTAAGGGTGTGGGTGTGGGTATGTGGGTGGCGGTGCGATTGTAGTTGTCAAGGAATCTATCATGTATCCACCCACACCCACACCCGAACCGGGAACCGGGAACCGGAACCGTGATTCCGGTCCCCGTTCCCAATCATTTGAAACCCGTGGTGCCGGTTCGGTTTCAAAATTATTATACAGAACCGTAGAACCGTTTACCTATCAAAGTGTGACTATGATATACAATATGTGGGGTATTGACCATGCTTCCTGATGTCGCTGACCACAAAATTTGTATCTCCACCTCAAGATCAGTATAGAATCACGCCTGATATGAGTTGTGAATCGTTTCTTTTTCAATAGTAATTTATCTTGGCAAAAAGCTTGGTGTCAGTGATTATATGAAAGAAACGGTTCCACGGTTCCTTTAGTGGTTCCTGAGTAATTTTTTCTACGGTTACGGTTCGGTTCCCGGTTCCATATTTTGTGGAACCGCAGATCTCTAACCCACACCCTACAACTTACAATTTAATCATCTTGTGAAAAAAATTACGATGTGACTTTCGCAGTGCAAATGACACAGGATGATCATTTCAGGAGATAGATTTTAGTAGGAGAGCGAATAGTCGTGAGTGGATGCAATAGACGTATCGACGAACGCCTTGTCATAAAACTGAAAAGTTCACTGCAGGTATGCTTTCGAAAAGATCTACATAAAATCTACTATGTTTTCTTTAAGAATATTCCAATAAGATTCGCCAATGAAGGATCGCAATTAAGGGTGTAACGTTAACTTTAAAAAAATCAAATTTTAGAGTACACTATTTTGTGGGCTGGCAAAGACACAGAAAAAGTCCACTCTACCTAAAGTTCTGTGAGAAGTCCTTCACCGTCAATCTAAAGTCCCGCCATAGGATCTTACTGGTGGCGGCACCTACCCACGGGACTTTGGGTGGGAAAGGTGACATTTTCTTGGAACTTTCCCACTGCTGACTATTTTAGCATATTTATAATTTATAAATATTAATAATTTTGATCATTTGTCCAGTTATCTTAAAATAAAGGGTGGAACAGAATAATTCGCTGTGTTCTGCGCAGTATTTTCTCATTGTTTAAGATTTCGCCACGACTCCCGTCGCCCGCGCAGAAAAGTCAGTTTTTGCCAGAACAATCAAAATTGGAATTAATGCATGGGAAGATTACCCGTAAGATTTTCTTTCATGAACGACCAAAATTTTTCGTTTTTTTCTCAGTATGATTTTTTTGGCTGGTCAATCCAAATTTCTCTGTTTATTCTCATTTTCTACATTTAATTTCTGTTTGTTTGAAAGAACGGGATACGCTGCACTGTAATACAGTCCTGCTTGTTAATTAAGATATTCTGGATTATATTTATAGACACTAGATAAGTTGACACTCATTACTACGGGTTTTCTGAGTCATTGAACTTGTGGTTCCCTTTCTCGACTTAAAGAGTAAGAAATTAATGAAAGATCCTCTATTACACTGCACTAATAAATTCTCTTTCAAACAAAAGAAGCATTAAATAGTGATATATAATGAGCCCAAATGGAGAGAGAAAGTACGTTAAATTACGAATCTAGCGTCGCAATAATCTGTACGTAATTTTGCTAGCCTGAGAATCAATATTGAGTCCTCAGTAGTATTCATAAGATTTTCGCTTTTGTCACAACTCAATTTTTTCTCACCGGTAGTCACCCTCAGGTGTGGCGAAACTTTTTTATCACCTTTCTACCACAAGTTGTTGTGGTTTGATAGAGGTAAGCGTGTTGATTACGAATATCACACTTTTTTACGAAAGTACTCAGATAATATGAAAGATCTGAAGCACTCTCTGAAAGCCTGAAAAACAGTTTTTGGCCCGAAATTTCATTAAAACGCAAACTAGATTCGTGAAAAATAGGTTCATTTTCTGCAAAGTTTTACTTCTCTATCAGAATCTATGAAAATGTCTTAGACGTTCAATGTTTCTCCATCAAAAAGTGCCAAATATCTCCAATATTAGATCTTGCCATGGCTGGGAGTGTCTTTTTGAACGTTATAAAGTTATAGGCTTTATGGGCGTGCCAGCTTGATTTTTTTAACCGAATATGTAATTCAATCTACTTCTTCTGTTCATTCCATTTTGATCTTGAAATCAGATGTCTAGTAAACCACTTTTGTCCTAACCAGGATACTTTATAGCTAATGTCTGTCTTTTTTTTGAGTAATTTTCGATGGATTTTGGATAGCAGTGGCCCCTGTTGGCATGAAAAGATTCTATATTTGGAATCACGCAGTCAGATAAGCATAGAAAAATAACGCGTAAGATAGCGTAAAAGCCACACATTTTTACGATTTTATTTTCGTTAAAACTTTTAACGCGTTTCATTGCTGAAATAGATGACTTATTAGAGGAATTGCAGCTATAAAACGTAGACTTAGGTTGTGTGAAACCATGAATGATTGACAAACAACCTAAGTTTACGTTTTATAGCTGTATTTCCGCTAATAAGTCATCTATTTCAGTAATGAAAATCGTTAAAACGCGTTAAAATTTTTAACGAAAATAAACTCGTAAAAATGTGCGACTTTTACACTTTCTTACGCGTTATTTTTCGATGCTTGTCTGACTGAGCAGTACCCGAAAGTCAATCAACGCATGCATGCTTCGAATTATTTCTGGGGCTTCTTTTTCAGTTAAATTTTGACCCGTGGTCTTTTTTAAGAATATAAGAGAAAATGAATTTCATTAAAGCCATCATTTAAATATCTATGCATCTATAATTTGTTTTTCAAATAACATTTTACAAATCCATAAATACTTTTCCACTGACCAAATGTTTTTCTGATGGAATACATTTTCCCTTATATCCGTGAAGGAGACCATGAGTGAAAATTTGGCAGAAAAAAAAGCGCAGAAACCATTTGAAACACGCATAATTGGGCTGATTTAAAATATGGTATTTTAAAAATCGAACCTAGTTCGTTCTACTCGAAAATCATCGATTACTAAACCAAAATTGCTCTCAAGTATGCCAGGGGTAGCATAAGCACTTTACTAGACATTGCATTTCGAGTTGAAAATGGTGTCATCAGAACGAGAAAGTTGAATTACGTATCTGGTAAAAAAATCTCCTGGTTCGCCCCTATAAAATGTAAATTTAAAAAGCCGAAATAGTCATTATTTGCAACAATACGACCCAATCGAGACGGTATTTCCTAATTATTGGTTGAAAAACGTTTGAATACCTAGGACCTTTTTATATATTCTGGTAGAGAAAAAACTTTCTACGGAAATAAGACTATTTTTCTTGGATTCCAATGGAACTTTGATGGACTTTCATGTCAAAAACTGTTTTTTTACAGATTCCAGAAAGTGCTTCAGATGTTTCGTATTATTCGACGAATATTGAAAATAAGTACGATAATCAAAATCAGCATACTGAGTTCAATCGAACGAGAAGTGCCTCTACAAAAACGAAGGCAAAAAGTTGCTTCGATCCCTGAGGGGACAAAAGCCGAATGCTGATTCTCAAAAGAATAAAATTGAATTCGGACTTTTCAGATGCATATACCGTAGTGAGACACATCTCCTTTATTAGAACACGCAGATTTTGTCTAATTAGAGTAGGTTCAATTTTTTGAAGTCTCAGAATCTTTCAAAATCTTTTAATATCTTAAAAGCTTAAAATCTGCTTTTGCCCTGTTGATCAAAATAGACTCTTGCGATATGATGATAAGGCATCCTTAATAAAGAAATTATTAATGTCCATGTTGACTTATGTCTTACTTTCACTAAAATCCAACCTTTATTTAAATATTTAACAAAAAGTTCACTTTTTATGATCGTCACGTATCTTGAACGTGTGCATAGTGATGAGTATATCATAGGTTATGTCAGCAGCAGTGAATCATTCGAGACTGTAGCAAGAAATTTCGAGCATCTAGACGCCTGCTACCAACTTCACCCACATGCCGCTGACATCGACACTCTCAAGTAAACGAATATGCTGATATATATATATATATATATATATAGCGTTTTAAAGATTAAGAGTGCCCCAATCAGAAGCAAAGAACCCTGGGTATTTACGATTTTGAAAAAGTACCTTGTGGTTTGCTGGATAGCCTTGGAACATGTAGAAAAAGTGTTGGTAAAATGTGGATTGGTACTTTACTTAAAATTCCTATTAAAAACACTATATATATATATAATATTAATATAAACGACACTGTTTCATGTATCATCGATGCGTTCGTACTTGTTCCTCAGCGTATTCTAATTAAAACTCGAAACAGTGGCATTTAGGGCAGATGAAGCAAAACTTCTTTCGTTTTATTACATTGCTATGATAGAATATCATGAACTTCTTTGTTAGAAAGATGTGTGTGAGCGTCTGAGTAAATTAAATACTGTTCAATACAGCCACTTTCGAGTTTTTTTTAATTATGTTGAATTTTATTCGTGACATACATACTTTCTTTTGGGAGATCTTAAACAATTTTTGTGGACGCTTACGAATGTATGCTACGCACGAGATAATGATAACAAACAGAGAAAGAATACAAAGGAATGAAAACGAACAGAATGAGAATTGAAATCGAGCCAATGATGACAATGAAGCGTGCATCGTTGCTTTTTCTT